TGTGTGTGTGTGTGTGTGTGTGTGTGTGTGTGTGTGTGTATTGAATTATTTTGGTGTTTCTGTTGAAGCTAGCTTTTTCGCCAACTAAGACAGCATTGTTGAGTTTTTAGAGTGTACATCAGTGTGTTCTTGCAGCCTTGCTATTGAATGTATGCATAGCAAAGTGCTATGCTAATGGACACAAACATTCATGAGCACAGTTTTAAAAGCTGTGTAGACTGAATTTCTGTCATCTTTCTCTCTTTGAAACAAAAAGGTACTCAAGCTGAAAAACCCACTTGTGTACAGTATAAGCTAGTTCCTACCATAAAGGATTTACGTAGCCACTGTAATGTACATATTGTTACTATACACTGTGTTTCCATCAGTTTTCTAATGCCACACATTACCACTCTTGAATGAGAGTGTCAGCTAACACTAGCAAATTTGGTTACCATTCTTAAGTTGTATTTTTGTAAGGAACAAATTGAAATCTGCCAGTTATTGTGAAGTAGCTAAATAGCAAAATACCAGAACTTCATTTAGCAAAACTCAAGTAGAAACCATTTTTTGTCAAATAAATGCATTAAAACTGCTTTATGAGGTCCCTACAACACAAATGCAGTGGAGCAGACCAAAAGGTGAGGTGTGACAGCAGTTGTCTGTGTTAAAGTGGCCACACCCCCAAATCTAGTTTCCAGATAGATGAGTTAGAGAAACTGTCTATAGAGGCCTAAACACTTTCTATACTAGGCTGTGAATGTCTACTCTTAAATTCTGCTGTAAAATTGGGCACTTTAACATTGGATTGTATGGGGATCAATTCACTTTTGGAGCAAGCCTCTAGTGGGCACCAGAGGAACTGCAGTATTTGGCACTTTGCATGGTCTCAGCCAACATCTTGTGTAGTGGAAACCCTAATACCAATGATGGTGTCAAAAAAGAAGGAAAAAAATGTTAGCCTGAAGAATGAGTTATAAACATTCATAGACCATGTTTAATCAGCCGGAAGTATCTTAAAATACCACGAGATGACTTTTTTGTTCTATAACAAGGGACAGATTAGAAAGGGAGTTTCTGAAAAAGCACAGTGTTTTGAACTGGGACATTGTGCAGGAACCAAAAGTGTTAACACAGAATCCTTTTACCTGTCACTTAATGTTCCTCAGTGGTATATTAACCTGAAGTCAGCCCTTAGAGGGAGAAGACATGTTTGGACAACACCTGACATGACAGGCTGCTTAGCAATCTCCATTAAAGCCAATGAAAACTGAGAAAAAGCAGACCGCCCGGCTCTCTAAATTGGTGCCAGTGAGGTCAAGTTGCAGGAATATGTCAATTACTTAAATTGATCGGGAGACGGTTTCCTTGATAACCAATTTGATCAAGCTCCTGATCGTGTTACATGCATAGCACTACACGTGAATTGAGCAGGCTGTCTCAGAAATTGGTTACAACACACTAAAAAGGCTAAACGCAATTTCCTCTTTGAGGCTAATTCTGTTTCGTCATGTCAGGTGGTGGATGGGGCCACAGCCATAGCATGTAAACAATGGCATTTCAGTTGATTTAATTAGGCAGAGAGGAAGCATTTAGGGGCTTAATTGAGATTGCAGTGGGAAATTGCTCTGAAATAGGTCTACCTGATTCTTTTTTCTTCTTTTTTTTCCTCTCCTCACAGAGAGCATGACGAGGGATTTCACTCTCCTCTTTGTAGATAATTAGAATAACCGTAATCACTCCCTGGATGGCCTGTGATTGGAGCGAGTCACATGCCAAACTTATGAAGAGTGTGTATGTTTCTCGGTGTGTGCATGCATGCTCTAAAGTCCTTTTGTGGTTGTGGAAATTGAACACATGCATCCAAGAGGACCTTCTATATTCAGAAATCCGTCTTGTACTTCTCCCCGCCTCAGATGGCAGTATTGCACTTTATTAAGCTTTGGATTGACATTATTTTATTTATATAGTATTAAACTTTTTTATTCTGTCCTAACATGGTTCTCTATTAACATTGTGTTTTAATTGTTGTACCACATTTTGTGACCTTTATGTCAGTGAATGTGCTATATAAATAAACGTTACTTACTTTATTTATTATTTATGAAACTTCACATTTAACTTATTTCAAATTTGGTGACAGAGCCCTTTAAACAGGCCCGCTATATTTTCTAATCAATAGTTCTGTTGAAGTGTTACAATTTTGCAAGATTACCTACAGAATGATTTGTTTTCACTAATTATGTGTATACTGTTAACATTTATTTATTTTAATTTAGATTTTGACCATTAAAAATGCAGGAGTCCTTTTCTGTTTGTTATTCTGATGACTTTGCTTTTAGCAGAATTTGTACATCTGAACATTTGATCATCTTTTTGTATTTTTTCCATTTATTTATGTATTTATAAAAAAGTGGATCAAATTTAATGCAGTGTATTAATCACTTTGTGCTTAAAAACATGCATTTTGAAGCATGCTCGCAATAAATTCAGCCATCATCTTATTTTCCCCCTAACAGGCGTTTGGCTTTATGTCACGGGTGGCTCTGCAGGCAGAGAAGATGAACCATCACCCAGAATGGTTCAATGTTTATAATAAGGTAACAGGGACTGGAGATTCATTTACAGTGCTGCGTTTATTTACTGTCAATTAGAGTAAGCGCATTTTGCAAAATCAATAGTGGTTTGTTTGATTTGTTGCCATATTTACAGTTTTGTGGTTTGTTAATAACAAATTAGACACACTGCAACTGATCTTGTATAAAGCCTGAATTATTTATTTATTTATTTATTTATTTATGTCAAACGGTTATCACTGGCCCATAGCCAGGCTTTCACACACTCCTTATGCAAAAAGAAAAAGGAAGAGAAAAAGCCAAAATCAGGTTCACACTTTACTCCCATAGTTTTTTTTTGGTTTTTTGGGTTTTTTTTGTGAAAAGCTCTGCAAATATGTCTGCCTTCCTTCACAACCCCAGCACTCACACAGGCTCTCTCACTTTCCCTGCCTCACAAATAAAGTAGTGGTTGATATGACAAACCCAGTCCCTGAAAATCTCTCAGCATTAGGCTGTAGCCACTGAGTTACTGTGTGGCGGACCGGGCCGCTCTGGGAGGAATGCTGCTCCTAATCCACTCTTTATTAAAGTCTCTGTACAATGGTGCAACAGGTCTCTGGGCCCCCACAGCACTTTCCACCAGACACTTACACATAAATCCCACACCGACTGAGGTACAGCCTCGACAAAACAGAAGCTGTATGCTGAGCTGCTGCTAATATTCTCTAAAATTCACTCTAAACCTTCTGTTCTGTTTTGGTGGTTGTCAGTTTTAAGGGTATTTACAAAAAATGTTTTTGGAAGCCGGGGGGGTTAAACTGCTGCAGGAAAGGAGTAGTTATCACAGTTTATGTCAAATAAAACTATAATGTGTATCACAATATGTACAAAGTTTCACATTTTGTAAAGTATGATTAGAGAGTGGTTTTTAGGAGAGTATTGTTTGACAGCAGCAGGAAGTCTCAGCGCCTGTGGGCAGTTTGCTTGAGTTTGTCATCACAGAAATGTCACACAGAGACCAAAAACCAAAACCTGTACTCACTGGCTGCATGTGGCAAACCACAGCACAGCTGGGAGCACTGCACGCTGTAGTTACACCTACCAATACACAGGAAGGTCACATTATATTTCCACCAGAATGTGCAAGAGCTGTCACAGAACTAGGTGATAGTTTTAATATTTTTTTCCAAGGTTGCACAACACTGGATGCGACACATAATGCACTGAAAGCTGTGTCTAGATGGCCACGCATATGCTATCTGATTTGTACCTTGCACTCTTGAATACAGACTGGAAATCAAAGGTGGACATAATTACTCTAACATTCCCCCCTTTAGACTGTGACCAGCATTTTGACTTGAGCCTAATAGCTTATACAACTGGAGCCAGACGCGCCCATATTTGGAAAACGGGGTGATTCTAATTAGATTAGTATATTTTTACAGGTAAAACCATGGTATTTAATTTGACAAAACTGTATATTGGTTCAGTTAACCACAGAGCAAGCCATATTATTTGTCCCATAACTGATGACTTGAAATTGATCCAAAAGGCGCCACCAAAACAAACAGTTGCGAGAGCTTCTGTTTAGTCACTCGAATGAATAAAGGCAAAGCCTGGTGATGCAGATAGGCGCCGGCACCTACCTGTCAAAGTGACCACAGTCCTAATAATGCAAAACTTTGAGCTATACCACAATTGAAAAGAATGGAAGGTTTTCTGAAATGACAAAGAATGTAATTTTATTGGATTTATTAAACTCTTAAAAGTTGTTTTTAGGAAAATATTTTGATCATGTTGATCACATTGCCTTGTGATTGACACTAACTTGTATATGTCTTCACAGGTCCAAATTACACTGTCTACACATGACTGTGGAGGGCTGTCAAAACGGGACATCAAAATGGCCAAATTTATTGACAAAATTTCACTTTCCATGTAGTTTTTTTTGTCTTTAGTCTGCAATCTGTCACAGCCTTTGTAGATACACTGATTTTAGTTTCAACTCTTTAAAAAGACAACTGCACTACAGAGTTAAATGTATTTAGTCTTTCACATGTGCATATCCTGCTTCTGATTTTTGTCCCAAATAAAATCTGTCAAAATAAAATAAACATTTTACACTGTTTACAAATGTTCGAAATCTTTTTGTGACAGTTTAACTTGTTTCATCTCTAATTGTTTTAAAATGATGCAGTGTATCTTGAATTAACACTGTGTATGAAAGCTCTTTGGTTTAGATTTCCCCAAAAGTCAGAGACTGGAAAGGTATCACTGAGTGATTTTCTCATATGGAATTAAAATGGATCGTGATTGGTCAGCACTACCCTGTCAAGTTCTCACCAGTGAGCTTTTACATGTGAGTCCATCAGAACACATGCTCTCCTTTTGTCACTTGATCGTGGAAGGGGTCAAAGTCAGTAGGAAGGGAATTAATTTGATTTGCGATTTTGTAAAGGATGAACTAAATTCAGTGCCTTCTACCTCTCATGTGTTGTAGTTTTTGGGGGAAAATCCAAGTTTATAAACATAAATATGCATAAATAAAGCATAAATATGCTTCCTTGGTCTTTCCTGATCATAGTGAGTTTAAAAAATGCTGTAAATTCTCATTTTATCGCCAAACTAAATTCAGAGTCAGCTCAAACAGATTTGCTACCTTTTTAAATGAGGAACCTGACAGCACTTCAAGTACAAGTCAGTGTCTGCTGGTTAAGCATAGAAAGTAAAAATGGGCAGCATGAACTGTCTGAATGTTACAAAAGTCATCCAACAGTGACTCGTTTAACATGTTCCATCCCATTTGTTTAATTTCTACAAAATGGGTGAGATGTTGGAGTTTGACACATCCCTAGGACAATGCAAACATTGGAGGTCTCCTGCCCTGCTCACATTTTCATTTTCTATTACTTAAATCTGATCACAGTCAGTCATATGTGCAATACCTAAGAAAAACTAAATCTTGATCACAGTTTTGGATTGAGGGATTCATGCTATGGGAAACAAAGGAAACACTGAATGAATGGAATAATCAGAGACAGGGCAGATTCTGTAATATCAATTTTCTCATTTAATCGTATTTCTAAATGTCAAATAGTTTATTTATTGCATCAACTTGAATGCAGCTGGATTTTCATTCATCGCTGACCATGTGGTATGTGATTGTAATAAGCCAAACAGAAGCTAATTGCAGTCGTACTGATGCTTGGACTGGATTTTAAGTAACTATCAGTAATTGTTCTAGTTAAAGAGTAAGGTTAAAATGTGGGGTGATGGACTGGGTGTGCTTCTTCTCACAATTAGTGGTAATTAATTACATGCTGACAAGCCTGGATGACTATATTAGCAATTAGAAAGGCTTTTAGCGCAAAGCATCAGGTAATGACTTTGATGAGGTTTTTCTGGTCACAAACGAGTGACATAAAAAACCCCAAAGCAAAATATGAATTGTCTGTCAGAACAGCTTCAGTGTACTTTGACACTGACTCTACATGTCTCGAAACCTAAGCTGGAGGGACTCTTCCATGTTATTCTTTCATTTGGTATTTAAATGACGGAGGAGAGCGCTAACTTGTCAGCCAGAAATCTCCCAGAAGTCAATTAGATTGGAATTTAGTGACTGGGAAGCCCATACCATATAATTCATATAATTTTAATACTCATCAAGCTATCCATAATCCCTTTGTCCTGTTTGAATGGAACCTTCTCATGTTGGAAGAGTCCATTCCCATCAGGATCAGAAAATTCACCCCCTAAACCCCGCCAGCAAAATGACCCCCATGCCATATAACATAGCTCTGTACTGTGTAATGCTTTTTTCAGATGGCATTGCTGGATCGCGGGATGCTGCTGCTAAATTCAGTTTTCTCATTGCTGCTAGGCCTCCACTTACAGGGTAACTTGAATATACATATTGTATAATTTGTCAAATTTTCACATTGTATTGCCAAGGCCATCTAAGCCCACACACGCTGGTGAGGTTAAAGCACATGCTGAAAGTCAGATATATATATATATCATATTACAAAGATGATTTGTGAGCACTAAAGTAGCCCCAGTTTATTCATCTGAACGGGGAAGTTCTCACCAAAATAAGACGACGGTTGCATCTGTTGTGTGTTACATTGTACAACACTGACCCAAGCAGCCACCCTTCAAACTGCTTTTTGTGCAGGAGGACAACTTTGAGGCTGGAAACAATAGCAGTGAATTCAAGTGTTTTCAGTGTTGCTAATAGAGACCACATTGCCTCTGTTTGCACTCTAACGTGTGTGTCATCTGTATTGTCTCAAAGTGAATGCACTAGCTCCTTTTTAACAAATTTCTGTGGAGGTGTGCATTGTTCTGTGGTTAGAAAACTGAGGTTGAAAACAATAATAGAAGACAGAGGATTAAAAAGCAAAGCTCTTTTTCTCCCTCAGAATTATATTTTTCTATTTTTAAATAACCCAACAGAGGAGGGATCTTCCTCCCCTGTTGGATTTATGCCTCCTTGCAACTCCTGCCTCTGCTCCACTAACTCGCTGGCTCTTTCTGCACTGACTGCAGAGACCAACCTGCAATCAATACTCCAGAAAAGTGCTGAGAAGACAGCAAACAAGCTGACCACATACTGTGAAATCAGTAACTGTGGTTTAATTAAGAGTTTCCAACTGTAACCCAATCACAAAAACAGTTACTAAAGAAATTAAAAACTTAATAACCCTTTAGGGACCATGTCTTGGAGCCTCGTGTCTCAGAACTTGAACTAGCAAATGCTTCTTGCGTTTCCATGATAAATCTCTTAACTGGTTAAAAATCCACTCATTCATTCATTTCTCTTTATCCCCCTTTGGATTAATCAGTATATTTTATCACTTCAACACTCTATTTTCTTTGAGGAGAAGGAGGAGGGCCACTTTCTAAGTGACCGGACGGACCTTGCTACAAGGCCAAGCTGGACCAGGCCAGGCCAGATGTGGCTCCTTCAGATAATTGACCTCAGCTGATGGCCAGAAGCAGCAGCAGCAGCAGACAACCGAGGCAGACCTCCCATTAGTGAAGTCCCTGGATTCTGGCTCCTTAATCCATTTCACCTACTAATTCTGTGCTGCCAGCAGTCCCGCCAGAGGAAGACAGACAGACAAACGAGAGAGGGAACGAGGAAGAAAAGAGAAGCAGAGAAAGCGGGGAGGGCAGTTAATGGGAGATTGCAGAGGTGGAGGGGAGTAAATGACAAACAGAGAGAGCGGGTAGAAAGGGACAGAGTCGAGAATGAATGAGTAGGACGGGCAGGTGGGGCAGGCCTATGTTTTGTGAAGACCTTGAGATGGAAAAATAATAATTCTCCCTTGCATAAATGTCTCCTGCCCCTGAGAGGAGAAGAGAGACATGGAGTTGGGGGGGAGGGGTGGGGCAGCAAGTGAGAAAAGAAACCACAAGCAGGAGAGAGGCTTTCTGGGATTTTTCCAAGTAGCTGCAGTGCGTGATAGCGGCCCATATTTTTCCTCTCGTGTGTGAACTGCATTTTCACTCCCTGGCCGTGGAGGGGTGGTTTGAGGCGAGGGGGACTGGTAGTGGCAATCGGATCCCGACAAAAAAAGATAAAGAGGTCATTGAAAGTCAGTCTTGACTTAAGTCTGCTTTTGGAGCCTCCAGGGGGAGTGAACAGGCCAGCGTTCAGCATGTGGGCTTGTCTGTAGTGGGACTCATTGCAGACACAGTGTGATAGTAATCACAGTGTGCGCTCGATGCCAAAAACAACCAGCAGCCTAACATTTGCACACACATTTGTATGGCAGTTGTTTTTTGATCAAATGCACCCCCGGTTGTACATTTCCCATGTGGTGCAGCAGTAACTACTGAACAACCACTGGCTGTTCTTATCTGTGTGAACAGAAACATATTGTTGTCTATTTTACTGATAAATGGCAGTTTCACGCTGTCTTCTTCGATTTAAAAGACAAACCGTCTGTAAAAAGGATTTTCCTTTTTACAGACTGCAGAAATGGATATCATGCCGATTCCAGAGAGACGAAAAGTATCAGCAACAGAAGGTCCTAAATAAATTCACATCTGTTACCAGTGTCACTGTACTGTTAAAGCTAACTACAAAAATGTAACTTTGTATGAACCAATACAAACACATTTTTTGAAGCCTTGTCACAATGCCACATTGTATGGAAAATAGGAGAGATCTATCATTTTTAGTATATAAATATTTCAGTAACTCCTCATCATTCCCTCTATAGTACATACCTTTTGTAATTAGTGTTAGCATAGCTGGAAATCCAGGTACATAATGGACTCTGTTGATGAAAGAGTGCTCTGTACTGACGTGAAACAAACTTTTCTCTCTAGAAAGCCAAACAAGTTTAACTTTCCTCATAACTGATGCTGTGCTTTGAGAACGGATCTTCCTGTGACTCTGTAAGGAAATCACCTCTCAGTGACATCAACCAGACCCCAGAGTAGAAAGAAATGTTAGAAACTGAGAGTTTGGAGTGATCTAAACCTGAGCGGGCTGGCTCATTTGTCATTATGTGTAACTTTGGCTCATAAAAAACAAATAAAAAGAAATTATCATCAAAACCCAACAACGAGAAAGCAGCAGTTTTGCTCATTTTCTTCCATTTTGATCCATCTCTCTCAGTGTAACTTTGCACACACTGCTTTGATGGAGGTATATAGGTCAAGAAGTCAGATAACTGGTGGTCTTTTAAAATAAATAATGTTGATATCTTTCATATAATGTGCTTCATTCTTTGCTCAGCCACCCACAGCTTTCTTTGACTAGGCTGTGAAGTCCTAGCAGCTCGACTCAGCACAGTCACTAATCCCAAAATGACAGTCATGTGTCAGTTTTGTTAGAATTATTGCGGTACAGAGACAGAGTCCTGGAGGTAATAACATAATTTTCTCAGGACACATATAATTATAGTAATTCATGCTGTTGTACTTGGGCTTGCAACCATATTCTCGTATTGGCCAAATGCTCTTTTTGATTGTGTGAGCCAATATTTTGTAATAAATCTTCAGCTCCATAAATCAAAGTGTAATTTGCAGCACAGGATGAATTTTGGTTTGTTATGCCACTTAATATTACAAGCAGCATGTTGGCTTTGGCTTGATTAAAATAAACTCATTAAT